CAAAAGTAAAAATAAGACTTGGTTGGCCATCCGAATCGGAACTCTGGTATATCAATAAATTTCCTCTCAATGGAGGATATTCCTATTTAGCAATCCGATATCTGATATACAATGGCTGAAAGCAATATAAAGGTCAATATTTGTTCTTTCATATACTGAAAGACGGGGATAAAACATAAATAAACCAGTAAGGAATGCAGTAAAGTCGGACGGAGCCGACTATATGATACCCTTCACCACTTTGGGTATATTCGACAGATGAATCCTAACAGACGTCGCAAATTTTAAAGGAAAATCTAAACCGATTTCAACAATTTCAGGAAACCTAACACACATCAATTTAGATCTAATTCATTACGCTGTGCCAAATTTCGTACAAATCGAAAGATATATAGGGAACTTGGATGGACCATTTACATTAAATAGGACGAAAATATATATGGGACCTATATCTAAATCTGAACCGATTTTCAAGAAATTTTACATACGTCATTTTACACCTAATTTATAACGCTGTGCCAAATTTTCTGGAAATCAAAAGATATATAGGGCCTTTGGTGCACCATTTACAAAAAATCGGACGAAAATATATATGGAAGCTATATCTAAATCTGAACCGATTTTCAGGAAACTTAAAACACATCATTCCATACCTAATTCATTACGCTGTGCCAAATTTTGTGCAAATCGAAAAATATATAGGGACTTTGGTGCACCATTTACATTAAATCGGACGAAAATATATATGGGAGCTATATCTAAATCTGAACCGATTTTGCCCAATTTCAATAGAGTTCATCCTTGGGCCAAATAAGTGACCTATGCCAAATTTCATCCAAATCGGATCATAAATACGAACTGTACTTTGTTCACCAAAATTCATGGACGGACGGGCAGACGGACATGCGTAAATCGGCTCAGAAAGTGATTCTATTCTCAAAAGGAACCATGTGTCTATCTCGTTTCCTTTTGCCTGTTACAAAACATATGCACAAAGACATAATACCCTGTATCACGGTGTGGTGAAGGGTATAAAAATGTCAAAAGAAGTTTAAACTGTCGCATTCTCCATCTATTTCTTTATATTGATTATTTCTGTCTGTTTCCAACATATGCACAACAATTTCTAGGAGGAAATAGTTTCTTTGCCAGAAATCTGGAATGTCAAAACCAGAAACATACATCAAAAATCTTTTCAAAACACCAACAATGAGGCGGACCTTTATATGGGGCGATGTCGAACCTTTTCACTGCATTGAATTAGTTTTACAAAAATGAACCTAGAATGCAAAACTGCAGGAACTTCTGTAGGCAACATGTATGTCAGTTTGCAAAAATGCCGTATCAAATCATCGTATTGGAAACCCTCAAAATAAAAACAATGGTTGGGAGGATTATGCCAACACCTGGACCTAATTTGATCATTATATCCTTCAACACACTATTCTACTTGCTATTATGTTTTTGTGCATATGTTTGTAACAGGCAGAATCAAACGAGGTACATGGTTCATTTTGAGAATATGCATAGAATCAATTCCTGAGTCAATTTATGCATGCCCGTCCTTCTATCCGTGTTAAATTGAAAACAAAGTGCAGGTCGAATTTATGATCTGAATGAAATGAAATTTGGCACAGGCCACTCATTTGGTCCAAGGACGAACCCTATTGACATTGGAGAAAATCGGTGGGTGTTTGATATGTACGAAGTTGTGTTGAAATCGGTTCAGATTCGTATATAGCTACCATATAGTTTTGTCCGATTTTATGCAAAAGTTGCAACAAACACCCAATATTTGTCGGATTGAGAAAAAATTTTGAATATCGCACTATGTTAGGTCCGGATTGATGTTGCGAAGTTTTGTTGTTTGTCGGTTCAGATTTAGATCTATGCCAAGATTTGCCGAAATCTGTTCAGATAAATATATACCTTCCATTTATTTACCGGACTGAGACAAAATTTTTGCACAGCCAACTGACTTAGATCCAGATTGATGTGTGCGAAGTTGTGTTTAAATCGATGCAGATTTAGATATAGCTCCCATATATAGTTTCGTCCGATTTTATATAAATGGTGCACCAAAACACGGATTGGGATATTGCTACAGGTAACTGAAATACGTTTTTTTTTTAAATCGGTGCAGATTTAGTTATACCTTCAGCGCTGTATTCCACGTTCCCCTAAATAGGTCCATATTTACATATAGATTCCATATACAATTTTGCTCGATTTCATGAAAATTTTACATCGAAGAAACTCTGCCGATTGACATAAAAATTTTTCATAAATTTCAAAATGGTATTTTTCACAGAATTCAGAATGGTATGTGTATGGGTTGTGGAAATTCGGCTAAAACCATCAAATGGAACTTTCATGTCACACATGGACCTCTATTTATAAATTTTATGCATAGATATGTCAGTCTCACAAAAAAAGGTATTCCAAATCACAGCCTTTTCGGTTGAAAAATTAAGTTTCTAAAACATTCAAATAAAGAAAATGGAGCGCAACGGAATACGTGATGTCTCCCTCCGAAATTCCGGTATACCAAATTACTAACACTTTGGTGGATTAATGGTGCTAAAATTTTCAATATACCGAAAATTAATTATTGTACACAGACGGACATACCTAAATCGGTATAGAATTTTATTCTGGTCAAAATATTTACTTCATAGTCTTCGATGAGCAAGAAAAACGTGAGCGTGAGCAAATCGAGACGTACAGGAGTCAAAATGAAGTCCGGAAATTTTACCAATGAGTAAAACACCAAACAGAAGGCTTTGGTGCAGGCACATCCTCCTGTAGCGATGAAGAAGGATACCTGGTGGCAAATACAGACGTCGTGTTGAGGATCTGGAAGAGTATTTTGAAAATTTTGTGGTATCAAATAGTGGCGGTGAAGAAAATACCCTCGAATAAGAGATGACGGAATAGAGTGTATATCACCTAGCCAAGATAAGGCCATAATAGCAAGCAATCGCCGGCATTCGCCGTGTCTGCGTTCGACATTCCTGCAAAATTTATACGGCACAAGATCAGCAGTTAAAGTCGGAAAGGACCTATCGGATCCCTTTAATACCAAACGAGGATTCAGACAAGGTGATCGTTTGTCGCGTGACCTTTTTAACATCCTACTGGAAAAGGTCATAAGAGAGGCAGAGGTGAACAGAAATGGAAATCTGTACACCAAACAACACATTTTACTCGCCCACGCCGATGACATCGATATAATGGATCGAACATTGGGTGTTTGAGAGAAAAATTCTCCGAAAGATCTACGGCCGATTTGCATCGACGATGAATATGGGCGTCGAATGAACTTCGAGATGACTAGGCCATGTTGTGCGAATGAATGAAAATGGATATAAAAGCGAGCCTATTGTTCACGCAGGCCGCGAATTATGGAATTAGAATTAGATGGAAAAATCATGTAGAAGACAACATCTCGGAACATAGTCTTTCAAATTGGATGAGATGCGCACAAGACCGATGCGCTTGGAAATCTTTTTTAAGCTCGGCTTATGGAATTAGAATTAGATGGAAAAATCATGTAAGTCACGTTGAAATATCTTTGGGGGTTGGATGGGTTGCAAAAAACGCGCTTGGAAATCTGTTTTAACAAGCCAGCTAAATAAGTACGTAAGTCACCGGTGAATATGTTGGGGGGTTGCAGACGGGGTTGCACAAAATTCGGGATCAATTTAAACTACATTGGACCATATCGGACATATGTAGCGTAAGTGGGTTACGATGAGTACTTTTTTAATAGTAAATCTAGTAAAAGAGAAACATCAAAATCGCTCTCAGAGTACAAAATAATTTGAAAAGTTCGGGAACGCAAATCTAGTAAATATGCCAAAATTAGATGGCAATACTTCAAAATCAACATAACAGCCAATCAGAAGTAGGCATTCCTGTTTACCATTTTTACTCGGCCAAATTTCTGGAGTAAAAAGTTTACAAAAAGAACGCCATTTTGTTTTGTGCTCTCTTAAATTTGATTCAATGTTTTACCAGTTTTGTGGGTTGAGGAACGGTTTTCGAGTAAAAAGTTGCAAAACATTCAAAATGAGTAGATTTTTTTTAGGTTCTGGAACGGAACCACAGTTGTTTGAATAGGGCATATAATTCGATACATTCGCCAATAAATAAAATTTTGAATTCTAAGATCTGGCTTTTTTTATTACAAACCGAATAATAAACTTGTGTGTTAATTTCTGCACAGACAACATTTTTAAATAATAAAAATAAAAATGTTAAAAAAATATATAATTTTTATATTTTTTTTAAAAAAATAAATTACTTTATTCTTTCTTAAATATAATAGATTAGAAAATAAATTGAAAAATAGAACTTAAATAATTGCAACTCTACATAAATATTTACAATAATCATGCAATTACAGCCAATGTGACATAGACACTGAATACATTCGAAAAATATACAAATATGTTTCTATATATATACTGCAGAATATTCGGAAGAAAACTGGATTGAAGGTAAATGTTTAAGTATAATTTATTTTACAAATTGTCTATTTAATAAATATTTATTTAATGTGTGCACTAAACAATAATATTTTGTCGGCACATCCAACAAAAAATATTTGGGTTTTTATTGGAATTGTGTGGTTGTCATTGTGTACAGTTGTATTGTATTGTATAATTAAATAGTTAATTTAAAATTAATTCGTTTTTTGTTTTTTTTTTTATTTAAAATAATTTTTGGTATTTTTATTTAAGTTTTTCATTTGATGTGGAATTTTGCATTGAATTTGATTCAATGGCTTTTGGTTTGTATGTTTCTTTGTCTGTCTGTATGCATTTTTCTGTGGTTATGTATGAGAGAGACAGATAGAGCGTGTATCTGTGTGTGTTTTCACATGTACATATGTTTATATGTGGTGGGTGGAAGGTTACATAGTGGTTTTGTTGTTTTTTGATATTTCCATTAACTAACTTATCATAAGTATGTCTGTGGGGAATTGTGGTTCAAATTTACCGGATCACAAGTGTCGTTGTAACTTCCATTGACATGGGATTTTCTGTTAGAGCCACCGATTCGGTTACAGCACTACGCATATTACCACTACCACCAAAATTGTTATTGGAATTTCCAATACCCAATAGACCACCGGACATACGGCCATCCCCTCCACCAGCCCCGCCACCGGCTCCTGCTCCACCAACACCCACACTGCTCAATAGCTTTAGATCACCCTTTGATATATCGGCATTCTTTCGTTTCCGACGCGATTGTCCGCCTCCTGTTGTATGACCATTAAGAGCAATATTAGTGTTTTCTTTATAACGGCATAATAATTCTTGAAATTCTTTACGGAAATTATCGTTCAGCCATCCATAGAGCAGGGGATTCGAACAGGCCGAGCTCATGCCAATCATGTGGCAGAAGGCATATGCCACCAGCATGCTATTGGTCACCGCTCCCCGCTTCATGTCTGCATATAAATTGAAAAAGTTTAGCGGCAGCCACGACACTCCAAAGATCACAGCTATGCTAATGAGCAGGCAATTGGTGCGCTTCATGCGCCGTCCCCGCTCCGTTTTCCGCTGTGACGAGGCCTGGACGGCGACCACGGTAATGCGACTTTTTAATTTGTTGTAAATGCCGAAATAGGCAGCCGACACTATCAGTATGGGCACCAAGTACTGGACGCACAGCGAGAACATGGAATAATAGAAGCGGCCATGATTCAGCGGCCAATCTTCTATGCAAAACGAGACACCGTGTATGCCGAGTTCCTGGAGAACGGGTGGAATGTCAGCATGAATTAGTCGTTTATAAATAAACATGGGCGATGCCAGCAGCAAGGCTAGCAACCAGATGCCTGCCAATATGGATACGGCTCCCACGAACTGTAAACTGTCACGTGTTGGATAGACAATAACCTAGAAAAAGACAAGAATTGGAAGAGAAGACAGAGAGCAAATGTTCAGTCATAACTTTTCTACTTAACGCATAATAATGAAGCGGATGAAGATGATGATGACGATGACGATGCTGTTGCTGATGGTGATGGTGAGGGTGGTGGTGATGGTAATGTTATAAATAAATTTACTTTAATTAAAACGCATTTATTTGCTGAGAGAGCACAGCACAAAAAGTTCGCGTGGTGTATAGGTTGTTGTCACGAAGTAAAGGTTTGGTGAGGCAGATGTAGGAGAAACTTTGTAAATTAAAAATATGAAAGTTAGCTATTTAAAATATTTGTTTTTTCTTTTGTTTTTGGAATTACAATGAGCCTAAAAATGTCTTGGCCTATTGACGTAAAAATATAATGGGATATATATTTAAACTTAAATAAGGACAGTTTTTAGACAGCGGGGCTTATTAAGTTGTTTCAGTTAACCACATAATACCATGAATTTAAATTTGTTGATTAAACAGTTGCATGGAAAATATGATACCAGAATTTTTGTGAGCAGAAAAACTTTGTCATTGGATGGGATTTGGCATGTTGTTGGTGTTTGAAATTAGAAATAGTAAATTGGGTCCATTTAATTACAGGGTCATCGGACATTATTAACTTTCATGCAAGAATTTGTCTAATTTTGATCACCCGGCAGGAAGATTCCAAAATATACAAAACGGTTCTGATTGACTTTAACATGGCAAAGATCAGGCTTATCTTGGTTCTTCTTTCATCTCAATTGTGGACACTGAACTCCCCGCGGTGTCACCTAAGGTAGCTATTTCCATCATCCTTTGAAATGGTGAGCTGATATGTGAAGTGATTTCACCCATAAGAACTATAAAAATAGGTTGAGGCGTTGGGTTAATTGCCCACACACTCGGAAAACCCCTACTACTATAAAAAAGCAACGAAAAAGAACATCAAACCCACCCAATGTAGGCGACCCACACAAACGTATAAAGGACCACGATCTGTGAATCTGCACTTGGAATGTGCGCACGTTGTACAGAATAGGCGCAGTTTTCGCTTTGGCGGATGTATTCAAGAAGTACAAAGCCGATATTATTGCCTTACAAGAAATGCGATGGAAAGGGGCATGCGTAAATAAATCAGACGATTCCGCAATGCATTATAACTGTCATGAAAGGAAACATGAATTTGGAATTTGGTCGATATTATTGCCTTACAAGAAATGCGATGGAAAGGGGCATGCGTAAATAAATCAGACGATTCCGCAATGCATTATAACTGTCATGAAAGGAAACATGAATTTGGCTGCGGATTTATGGTTAACAGGAAAATAAAAGATCTTGTCTCCAGATTCACTCCAGTAGATAAGCGAATTGCTTTAATCCGTATAAAAACGAAGTTCTTTTACATCAGTCTTATTTGTGCCCATGCTCCGTCGGAAATTTAAATGCAAAAACGGAAGAGAAAATATTTTTGGCCCCACCGTCGGAAAATTTACCCCTACATGAAGAAACATCCAACAACGGCTCGATTTACTTCGCGGCAGAAAAAATATGGTAGTTAGCAGCACCAAATTCAAGCATTTCGATATACACAAGGCCACATGTTTATCTCCCAAACAGACAATCAGAAATCAAATTGATCATTTGTGATTGACGGAAGGCATTCATCCAGTGTTTTAGACCTTCGATCCATACGAGGAGCAAATATCGATTCGGACCATTACCTTGTGGCAGCCAAGGTTCGCACCCGTCTTAGTGTAGCAGCCAAGTTGCGATCTAATGTAACACGAAAACTCGACACCGAAAAGCTACAAACACAACAGATAGCAGAATTCTACTCCGCAAAAACGTGAGAAAATCGAGATGTGCAGGAGTCAGAATGAAGTCCAGAAATTTTACCAACGAGTAAAACACCAAACCGAAAGTTTTGGTGCAGACACATCCTCCAGTAGAAATGAAGATTGAAACCTGGTGACAGATGTAGATAGCGTGTTGAGGATCTGGAAGAAGCATTTTGAAAAGCTTCTAGTGTCAAATAGTGGCGGTAAAGTAGATGATGCCCAGAACCATTAGGAGATGACGGTACAGAGTGTCAGATGAGGTCAGATCAGCAATTAATCGGTTGAAGAAACATAAAACAGTAGTTGCCGATGGATTACCCCCCGAACTATTCAAGACCTTTGGTCAGATGCTGGTCAGGAGCATGTACCAGCTGATTAGTACAATTTTACAATTTTAGAGGGATGCATGCCCAATGATTGGAACCTTAGCATCCTGTGCCTCGTGCACAAAAAATGAGACAAGACGATATGTGACAACTATAGAGGATTAAGTCTCCTTTCCATCGCATATAAGGTGGTATCCAGCGTGCTGTGTGAACGATTGAATGGTCAATGACATTATCGGGCCATACCTAAGCGGCTTCAGGCCTGGCAAATCTACCATTGACCAGATTTTCACTCTGCACCAGATCCTGGAAAAGACCCACGAAGAACACATCGACACATTCAACCCATTCGTCGACTACAAAGCCGCATTCGACAACCCCATCCGTTCAGAGATGTTTGTAGCCATGTCTGCGTTCGACATTCCTGCAAAAATAATGTGTCTATTCAGGATAACTTTAACTGGCACAAGGTTAGCAGTTAAAGTCGGAAAAGACCTCTCGGAGCCCATCAATAATAAACAAGGATTCAGACAAGTTGAGAGTTTATCGTGTGACCTATTTAACATTCTGCTGGAAAAGGTCATACGAGATGCAAATGCGAACTCACACTCCACAAGACCCTGATATTACCAGTGGTGTTGTATGGATCTGAAGCATGGGTACTTGCGCAAGCAGATGGGGTAGTTTTTGGAGTGTTTAATAGAAAAATTCTCCGAAAGATCGTCGACGGAAAATATCAAATGAACCATTAGTTGTACGTCTATTATCAGACATCGAACTGCAGCGAATACGTTGGCTAGGTCATGTTGTGAGAATGGATGAGGATATCCCCACACAAAAGGCATAAAAAACGACGTATACGATGGAAATATGAAGTAGTAGACAACATCTCGGAAAATTGTTTTTCAAATTGGATGAGATCTGCACAAGATCGACGCACTTGGAAATCTTTTCTAAGCTCGGTAACTATATATATTGTCAAAAATGATTATTACAGAAATTTACAAACAGAATTACAAAATTAACATTTTTTAATAAAGAGAACGACAGCTAATGCACCGGTGAAATGTTCGATATAAGCGACATGTCGTTATAAACAATATAAAATTTAAGTCAGAACTTTCCCCGTGTTTTTTGGCAATTCGTTAATATTGATATAGATTCAAATTATGAATTCGTTTGAACAGAAATTAGTATTTTACAGAATGAACGATTATATTTTATAATTTCAAATTAAATCCTCAGGTATATTTCAACTTAAATTTTCCTATTGTACATTGAATTTTTTCCATGTTTTTTAATTACATAAAACAATATTGCATAAAAATTTGATTTTGTTGTTTTTGGTAAAAAAAACTGTCGAATACACGCTGACATTACAAAATTACTTTCAACAATTTACAAACTCCTAGAAAAACAATGCATTTGCCATGGCCCCGTGTTGTTTAGGACCAAAATATGTGAAAATAGCCTTTTTTCGGTTGGGCATCCTACTGTTTTGGGTACAATTACATATCTAAGTTTTTGTTGGTTTGTTTGCCTTTGACATGTTTATAACTAGCAAATGGTAAAGTCAAATAGAGAGGGCACAATTTTTGTGTTTCTGATTATTTTCTGTTTGCGGGCGATAAGAGAAGTTTTTAATTTTAGTTTTTATTTCTGCTAGGCAAAGCAAAGTAAAATTAAATATTAATAATAATTAAATATTAATTTAAATGACAATAAAAAGGGATGTACATGTCTAGAGATTTTAAGTTTGTAAATAAAAGTTATGTTGTGTATCACTGGGGTGTAATAGATAGATAAACTGAGTTCAATACCATGGAATATTTTTTAGTCGGGATGTTTTAGCCGATATGCCAAGATCAAAGGGCCTTAAAATAACTCTAACTTAAAACTGAAGAGTTTTCCCAGGAATATGAATTCACAAATAAATATGAAAACGGGTCTCATAAATTAAAACCCCAAATGTCAGATATATTCTTACTACGCACTAACCATAATACCAACAAACTTTTCTCAAAAATGTGTCTTATAGGGTTGTTTTGAAAAAATAGGACATCATGAAGAGACAACATTCTAAAAAAACATAGTTCTCTAAAATATATATCTGACAGGAAACTTAATCGCAAAGACCACATGCAGAAACTGGTGGATAATACCCATCAATCTCAAAATAGGGCTATGTTTTTATAGGGGGCCTATGTCCAAACTTTGGTCTTAACTGATAATTTTCTGCATGTCCAAAACACCACAATGCGAGATTATAGTTACTTTGGTAGAAAACGTAGATAATATCATGAAAATACCAAAAATGGAGTAGGCTACCGTTATAACATGGTATTAATATTTTGTATGGGGAAATTTTCCATCTCATGATTAGCCAAAATCTTAAATTTCAGCCAATGCGGTTGAAAATATGCCCAAAAATCCCAAAATACAGATTAATAGCGCTCTGTAATTCAATATTGATATTTTTAGTAAGGAGATTTGTTTACCACATGGGATTCCAAAATATTATATTGGAGCCAATTCGGTTGGAAAATGTGCCTACACTCACCAAAATACCGAAATTTATGACTATCCTAAACAGTGGTGCAATATTTTTTTTATTTTCGGTAGCAAGATTTGCTACCCAATGAAAACTAAACATAATTCCAGTCAATTGAAAAACGTACCGAATCTCCCCAAAATACGCTAAATCTCCCCTAAGAGAGAAACCCCAAAATATGTGGAAGATTTTGTACTCAATGAGAATCCAAAATATAAAACCAGTAAGGAAAGTTCAAAAGTCGGACGACTATATGATACCCTTCACCACTATGGGTACATACA